TTTTTTTTTTTTTTTTTTTAAGGGGGGAAAATCATCGAATGACTGCCCCCGCCTGGGTGAGGCGGGAGGGAGTGTCAGACTCTTACTGACTAAAAACCACCCCGTTCCTTCTCCTGCACGTCGAGCCGGAGCCCCGGTTACCCGTTAGGTTCTCCGCGACTCCGAATCGGCATCGGCCCTATTGGGCCCCATCTGTGGTGGTCTGATGGCTCTTTGAGGCGCGCGCGGAACGCGACGCGCCGTACGCTCGGGTCTGTTTCTGGTCGGACGGGGAGCCACCCATGCTCGCCGTCCGCAGGCCCGCGCTTACGGTGGCCGGAGATCGTCCCGCGATCCCCGACGCCCGGTGTGTCCTTCGCGATGGCTGGGTTGCGAGGAGGCAGCGCTTCGCTGCCTCACGCGTCCCGCCTCCTCCTTAGCTAGCATGACTGCTTCGCAAAAGGAGGAGACGGCATCCCAATCCCCCTCGCTCCGCATCATGGCCTGCACTAGGCCCGGACGCGAGAGGTCGCCATCGCCGATCACTTCCCTGAGGACACGGCGGTGCTCAGCCCACGAAGGGCATTCTCCCACCGTGTGTTCCACCGTGTCCTCAGGGCGGTCCTCGCAGTGATGACACCCGGGCGTTTCCTCCCGCCCCATCAGACACAGGTACCTCCCGAAACTTCCATGTCCGGTGAGGACCTGCGTCAGGCGGTAGGTGAGGACGCCGTAGCGTCTCTCAAGCCACTCCTCAAAGAGGGGACTTACCGCTGCGATGGCAGCGAGCCCAGCCCTCGGTTGCGACAGTCGTTGCTGCCATTCCGCCATGAGATCGCGCCGGAGCTCATCCCGCCACGCACCTATCTGGCGCGGCAGCGGGGTTTCGCCCCGGCGACGTGCCTCCGCGCGCATGCTGTACACGCGCGCGAGCACCTTCGCCTCCAGATCCCACGGCGGTAATCCGGCAAGGAGGTTCGCCGACTCCCCAGAGATCGTGCGGTATCCGCGGATCATTCGGATCGCCATGACCCTCTGTGCCATGAGCAGCGTCCGAGCGGGACGCCGCAACAGGTTTGGCGCCCAAACAGGGGCGCCGTAGAGGGCCATGGACCGCACGACCCCGGCGTATAACCTCCGGCAGGAGGCGTTTGGCCCCCCGAGGTTGGGGAGGATGCGTTTAAACGCAGCCCCCGTCCTCGCCAACTTTGGAGCCAAACGCAGTTACCCAGCTACCGCGTCAACCGTGCAGGACATTTAGTTTCAGGTCTTTTAGGTTACATTCCTTGGTCGGGCAAAGTATTACTAGGTTTTTAAAAAAATAATCTCAGTAGTAGCACGGAGTCTGGTATTGAACCCTGTATATGGCAATTAACTCACCTGCTATTACATGGGACTCATAACATAAAAAGTGAAAAGTGGGTGTTACATTACTCAGTAGCATTAAATGTCGTAATGTGCAGCTCTGCCTACCCCTGTATGTGATATTACTATCAGTATAATTTTAAAGTGGGAAAATGTTACCAGATTTTTAAGACCCCTATTAATCATGCCAATCCGTTGTATCCTTTAAAACCATGTCAAGATCACGAATGGCTGACTCGGTATTTGCAAATAGTTTTCCCGGATTCGTAATATCAATTTTGGTAGCTATGACGTAGTAACAAGAGATTCGGTTAAACCCAGCTGACCGGAATCATCAGAAGAAAGTTACGCAACTTCGTTTTAATGGTTACGCATTACGCACGTGTTTGTTTCATATACAAAACATAGTGAGACAGATTAAAAACTAATTTAGAGATGGTAAAAGAGATTGTTCGTCTTATGAGGCTTCGGCGCCCAGTATTATTATTTTGGTGAGTTTTGACAAGTCTCTGGACAAAGACATTGAAAAGAAGGCGGACATAATGTCACTTGAATTTTTGAAACACCAAATTGTTAGTAGGTGATTTATGTATGTGTGTGTGTGTGTGTGTATCTGCCACGTTTATAGCTGTGGTTACCACGTTAACAGACTTAAGAAAATGACAGATGTCCTGTCGTGTCAATGTGTGAATGTTCTGCGTGTAAGTCTATAGTAGCCAGGTGCCACAGTCGTTGTTTCAGGAGACTGTGTTGGCCTTTTATCAACCTTTTTGTCTCTGAATATGACTTACAATAAATGGAAATGTATGCTGGACTTTGTTTCATTCACATTTCATACTACTAAAGTAGTAACCACTTTTGACATTTTGCTGTTAGTCGTCAATCAGCACATGTGTATTTCATATTGAAGAAGAAAGTCTCTTCCTCCCTGACATTGTTTTCAATTAAATTTATTGGTTTGACATTGAGGTACAGTTATCCACAACTTACTGGGAATAATAGATACTATGTACCTACCACATAATTTGGCTATAACAACTATTAAACAAGATCAAATGTCCAGTCCTTGGTACATTTAAAAGTCAAAGCATTCATTTCAATTAATCCTTAGTAAAAAAAGCACTTTTGAAACGTCAGAAATTTAATTGTCCAGTAGTCTGTCGATGAAGCTAGGCATAATTAGGCGTATATTTTTTTATACTTAGTAGGTTAACATTTGACCATCAGCTCGCCTGGTGGCTGGTGGCTCGCATCGCTTACCGATGATGTGGCCGACGATGGAGCACTCCTACTTATGAGCAACCAATGGTCACGGTGACCTTGTAGGTGATGAATTATCATCACCTACAGGCCACCAGGATTTTAGTGAGAAAACAATACCAAGCTCCCAAATTTTTTTCTCCCTAAAAAGGTTAGGTACCTTTTGTAGGTTCCCCTCCCCCACCCTTTATCAAGAAACAAGGTACACTCCCATTATGTTAAGGCCAATTTTTTCTAAGAATATATAGTTACTTCTAGAAAAGCTACTGTTAATACAATAGAGAGATAATATGTCTAAGCATGTACGTAACCATCATACAAATATTTTCGTAAATACGCAAACACTTATTACGCAATTACATTAACAATACAATTATCATATTTTTAGGTTTTAATAAAATTACAATGTACTTAGGTACATTGTAATTTATATACGCTATATTCGCTCATGACGTCAAGGTTACAATTTAATAATAGAATTAAATAAAATGCAGTATTAAATTAATAGCATATAGATACTTTTTGCGCATTTTCTAACTGAATTTAAAATATACAATTGAAATATGTAGATATAGAGGTACATAAATAGATAAGATACGAAAACAATAAGCATAGATAATGTATTACATTATCATAAATTATAGTTCTCCACTGTAATTAACCTTTTTAATTAAGAACTCCTTGCTTCTAATTTTATTGACTCTAAAGTAGAATAATACTTGATCTGATAATATTTTTGTACTTTCTTATAGTTTTAGGAACCTTTGGCAGAAAAGGACGAAATTATATGGACAGTAAAATAATTAAAAACTGAATAGGTAAGTGTAGCGATAAAATAATCCAAAACCAAAATAACTATCAGGGGTAGATTAGGGATCGGTACTGAAGCCAAAAATGCAATCAATTAATTTTTTCTGCCTGTGTATATGACCGTCATAGAAACAAAAACTACTCGATCTATTTTAACGAAACTTGGTACAATTATATTTCATAATCATGAGCTGGTTATAATATACTTTTCGTCACACTTAAATCAATAGGAGCAGAGAAATCTAGGAGCAAAGCAGGGAAGGGAAATGTTGGACAAACGGTAGAAGTTGCTGCATTGTTAGTTATTTTTTTATGCTATGAAAATAAATCAAAATTGCAATAGTTAACAATATTCAAACGCATATTATATGAAAATAGTTGAATTTTAGAAAAGTTTTTATTTAACCTGAATTATTTATAGACATAACTTCGTTAACCCTTTACATTTTTTTACGTTGTTTTGTATTTAAAACGCGCCACGCGACAAATTACCTAATGTCAATGTAGTGTGAACTTATAATGACTTTTTTTAACTCCACATACAAAGGGCCATAATTAGTAGATAACTATAAACACATTACTTTAGAAAACAATATAATAAGTATATATAGAGGGAGCAAAAACTATGAAAAGAAACGCGACTCGTAGTTTTTTTCTATAAGTACTTATTAAGCGGAACTGTAGAGAAGAATTAAGTTGTCTATGTTTTTTTTATAATATATTATTAAATAGGCTTTGAAAGCAGTTGATGAATTTGAAAAATTGAACAGCTTATTTTACTCTAACTGTGCCCACGACTTCGTCCGCATGGAATAGTAATTCACAGGTCCTCCGCCGTAGATGATAGCGTGAAAAATGTAGCCTATATGTCGACCCGAGACAAAAAATTCTAAAAACCATATCTTTACTTTGATAGATATCGAATATACCTCTAGATCATATCCCAAGCATTCTTTTAAAAAAATATTCAATATACATATTTCACTTTTCTACGATTTTTTTATATGTAGGTAGATGGATTAAGGTCATTTTATATTCTGATATTTTTACAAAACCGGGACCTACTTGAAACAAATGTTTGGTTTTCTTCCGTCTAGATTTAGTTAAAATACTAATACAAAAAGATTTTTTTTATATAATTTTTTTCATCATTGCAAAGTTCAGTATTCTAGTAGTATGATGCTACTTTTCTTATGAATTACGAAGAAATTGTAATTAATATTCCTACAAGATCGTATCCTTTGTATACAAATCTTCTACATTCAGTAAAAACACAAGTAATAAAAATAATGTAAGTTAAAGAAAAACGTAGGGCCTATTGACTACCAAAGCGTTAGCGCGACGTGAAGCGGTGTTAACATAAATGTGCGCAAAATGTCACCATTCCATTAAAAAAATGCTTTAGTTCGGTCAGTCTACCATCGTCGAGCCGCGGATTGGCCGCGCCCTTACCGTCCAGTCCCCAGACTGACCCACATTTCCCCACAACCACGGCACGATCCCACAAAGAATACTCCTTAGTCACGCAATTATTGAAAAAGTAATACCACTGTCAAAAACTCCTGTCACCTCTCAGTCAGTGTTTCAACCGCAAACTGTCTTTGTGTATTACTTTTACTTTCATTTGGATAATTTTTTAGTTTATTTTTGTTTGTACTTTCTTTGACATCATGTTTGTTTGAAGGAGGAAAGAAAATTTATTTTTTAACTGTTGCTCTGGATTCTTCTTGTTCGGGTGGTAGAAGAATCGGGTGAGTACGTTACAATTTCTTGAATATTTCTTGAAAGTTGCAAAGAAAATCTTAGGAGAATTTGTTAGAAAGAATGGCATCTGGTGCATAAAATAATGTTAAGGAGTGTTTTTAAAGTGTACAAATATCTAGCGATACCAATGTAAATTTTGATCAAACGATACTACAGTTAGTCATTAAGAATAGATTAGGAACTGTATGTACTTTGTATCAATAACTGATTCAGCAGTTACTTTTTCTCAGAAATGTGCTTAGTCCATAAAAATATTCGGAGTCTTTACCTATTTTTAAAGAAAAATACATTGTGTTCAGGCTTCTAGAAGTGAAAATGCCATACACAAAATCGTTCATCACAACTTTCACACTTTTTATTTTTAGATATGACATCAGACTACGTTACATTTTTCTAAGAATTCTCATTTTCTTGGTAAACCAAGGCCTTACCTATAAAATGACGTAATTACTAGCTGAAGGTGCCCAAAGAAAGTTAAATTATTTTGAAAGGTACCAATTTTGCCTTTATTTTTATTATCTGAAACGGCAGAAGGGCCAATCGGTACTGAATTATTGTGAAGAATAATCTCCAGTGATAATAGTAATTATAGCGTAATGTATAGTTTAATCAATATTCATATAAATATTAGGAAATACCTATTACGTATAGTTAAAAGTTATTCTGAGTATTAACACACACAACTAAATGCTAAAACCATTAAAATACAATGTGTTAAAATAATAAAAATAAGAATATATCTAATAATAAAAAATAAATTAAACTTTTGTAACACTTGCGTCAATTCTCAATTATTTTTTATTTTGATATTCGTATCCATTCCCAAGCTGTATTAGACAATAGGTAGTAAACAATTAAGCATTGTTTGATTCGCACACTGATGATTATAGCATTGGTAAATACCTATCTATACTTGGTATTAAAAAAGAACATATTAGTTATATAGTTAAACGAATATATGCGTATAGTCTATAGGTAGTTTTTATGCGGTAACGAACCATTGATGTGACCGGGTAGGTTATCAGCGCCCTCCATGGACATTTACGGCACGAGAAGCGTCAGAAGTGTATTAAATACTGGATAAATTTAACATTATTAACATAACTCGTAACATAAGATCACGCCTATTATCCCCGAAGGGGTAGGCAGAGGTGTACATTATGCCACTGTACAATGTAACACCCACTTTTCACTATTTATGTTATGAGTCCCATGTAATAGGGGGTGAGCTTATTGCCATATACCGGGCAAAATTCCAGTCTCCGTGCTACTACTGAGATTTAAAAAAAAAACCGAATATTACTTTGCCCGACCCGGAAACCCAAGACCAAAGTGGGTGTTACATTGTACAATGGCATTAAGCGGCGTAATGTGCCTCTGCCTACCCCTTCGGGGTTAAAGGCGTGATGTCATAATGTTATGGTTTTACTAGTATTTTTACTACCTTGGGTGTAAAGTAATTTAACAAACTGTAGTCACGTGTTACCTAATTACCTTAGGTAAACGACATTTTGTTCAAACATTTATCAAGTATCACCTAAGTGTCCATTTCCTGAGCTATCTTGTGAACAAATTCTAACATTAAAATGTCATTATATTATTATTCATTTTACAAGATGTTTTCATAAACATCTTGCATGAGGTGTCATTTTTATTTTATGTAACGCTTTATGCACATTATTAAAATAATTGGCAAACTCTTAACACCGGTCTTGGTAAGAAACTGATGGAGAAAATGCCATATCAATTCTGTTAGTCATTGTATTAAAATGATCTCTATTGCCACAAGCAATAACACTTTTTTGTTTGTTTTTTTTTTTCATTAATATTTAACTTTTTTTGTCATTTTGTTAGGATGTCATTGAGATTCACAAAACCATATAATACTAACGCATTATTTATCAAGATAATGTTCTTACTTCTTATGTCCAAATAGTCAAACGTCACTCAAATTAAAGTCTTTCTTAAGTATAGTTCTTAAAATACAAATTCTTTTTAAATGACAGTGTTGGCACGATATTTAAGTACCTACAACTTCAATATTTGCCTCTCAGTGTTCGGGCGTTAGATGCTAAGGGAGTTAAGCATAGGGTGTACTTATAATAAAAATGTTTCTGCACTAAGCATTGCGTATTGGTCTATAAACATCATCATCAACAACCTATAAATGCCCACTGCTGAGCAAAGTCTCTTCTCACACGAAGAAGGTTCGAGCATTAATCACCACGCATGCTCAATTCAGGTTGGTGATTCTAAACTTATAATTACAAATTATAAGCCCAGATTTCCTCACGATGTTTTCCGTCACCGTTTAATTGTCAGTGGTGTCTGAATAATCTCAGAAAGTAAATATCATATAACACGGAAAAAGTCACATTGGTAATTGCCGTTGGTAGTTTTCGAACCCGCACCCTCATGTATGAGACTTGGGCGTCTCAAACCTCAGTCTCTAATCAGTCCATATTAATTTATTTCAATTCAGAAATATTGCAATGGTAAAAGAGGTTGATACGAATATAACTTTGCGATAAGTTCATTGATAATTCATGAATAATAATGATGAACTGTATTAAAAATTTAACGAAGAGTCGATTGTTTGGTGATTACTTAAAAACATTATATAACGGGCCGGCTCGACCGGAGTGATACCACGGCCTCACAGAAAACCGACGTGAAGCAACGCTTGCGTTGTGTTTCGTCGTGTGAGTGAGGTTACCGGAGGCCCAATTACCTTCCCCTTCCCCAATCTCCCCAATCCCTAAATCCCCAACGATCCTCAAACTCCTAATCCCTAAAAAGCCGGTGACGCACTTGTAACGCCTCTGGTGTTCCAGGAGTCCATGGGCGACACCGATTGCTTACCATCAGGTGATCTGTCAGCTCGTTTAACGACTTATGCCATAAAAAAAATATATAAATACGTCTGAGAAGATTCCTTTTCGACTATTATTAGCGCTATTTTAATTTCTATTATGTAGATTTAAGGTTGCTTTCCATTCAATACGCCACTTAATGTTAGTTTTCAATTCTTCACGATATTCTTGACTATATCTGTCGTCTTTTCAATACCAAGTACAACAATAACACCTTATTTGTAATTCAAATATCACCCTACATATATTAGAATAGGTGCACTGTGATTTAGATTATCAAACAATAAAAAATGTTTATGTAAGAAGCGTTTCGCGTCAAGCTTCCTCATGCGAACCACAAAGGAATGGAATTCCTTGCCAGAGGCTGTGTTTCCCGTAAAATATTACTTGGGTGTCTTCAAGTCCCGAGTGAACAGCTTGCTCATAGGTAGGCGTGCTCCATCGTCGGCCACATCATCGCTTAACACCAGGCGAGATGGTGTTCAAACGTGTATCAATACATAGTATAAAACAAAGTCGCTTTCGCTGTATGTCCGTATGTATGCTTAGATCTTTAAAACTACGCAACGGATTTTGATGCGGTTTTTTAATAGATAGAGTGATTCTTAAGGAAGGTTTGTATGTATATACATATTGCACCCGTGCGAAGCCGGGGCGGGTCGCTAGTTAAGTATAAAAAAAATAGGTCCACGTAAAGCTGTTTGCCAATTTCCAAGTATAAAAGTGTAGTTTCGTATGGTTATTCTTATATAATTTTCTAAAAGGCCGGGATCATATAACATGTATGTATTTTATCATGTCACGGTTGTCCAACTACGAAACAAAAACACACTCTTTAAAACTCAATCACTTTTTAAACAATGTGAAAGTGCGTTCGCGTTCTCGAATGTGATTCATACAAAAAAGTAAAAAAGTACGCCTTCGCCGTAGGCCGGATTTTGGATGCAATTTTATGTTACGTCGTAAGGAAAAAGTTGTTTCGGTTGCTTTTTATAATTGTCGGTAAGGAATAATTTTGCCTGTCGAGACCACTTTCGTTGACTGTGAACCACGAGACACTGCGATCACTCGGTCGCAGACGCAATTGCCGGGACTCGTTTAATTTCCAGGTTATTGAGCTATTGAACTTTCTGCTTTTATTTATTTATAAACACTCACGATACAGAATAAACTAAAAACTGCGGGTTACTCACGTGAATATATGTGGCGCGACCGCGCACGCTGCTCATGAGGAAGAATCCCTCTGTGGTTCGAAACTAGTAGAGCTTTTCCCAGTATATTTCCGTGAGTAACCCGCAGTTTTTAGTTAATTTAGTATGTCTCACGATAGTTATTGTAAAAACACGATACAGGAGAAAATCCTAGTGTGGGACAACGTTTTTAAAGGAAAATACCTTCCATCCTTTGCCTACCCTAGATTTAATAATAAAAACAATAATTAATTGACGTCAACAAACATTTGGTGGTCACTGAATACTAAGAATTTTGGAGCGCACTCAACTTAACTTTGTTTTTATAGGTCATATTTTGTTTGTACTTAAACGACAATCAATCAAAATTAATGATAGCCAAACTTTCCACCACGCTATCTCACGTGTGATAAATTATCTACCCTTAATTATTATTTTTATAGACCTGTACTATTAATAGTTTTAATAACAATAGCTGTATAAAAGAAGAATACAACTACAACAATTGTTTCTCTAAGGAAGTAATCTTCAGATAACGATTGTAATCGTGGTCACATTTATCTATCTAATTCGATCTTCCCTATGGTTAAAAATACAATGTCAGTCTTAAGAGATATTCATTTTTTGTCTTAAACACTAATTTATACATTTGTAATTTTCAAATATTTCATAACTAAAATGTAATAATAA